AGAAAAAAAGAAAATAAGAAAAGCTTAACCGAGAGTTTAATTCGATTCTCTTGCGCATTCGCATAGTGGATAGGTGGGCAGGGGCAGGGGGGAGGGGGGTGGGGTAAGGTTCTCAACCATTTTCTTTTAACACCCTTTCAACACTTTCACTAAAAAAGAATCCCTTTCCATTCCCGGACGCATATAAAGCGAGATGCAAGGTTGCGGTGATGGTGATGGCAATGGTGATGATGATGGTGGTGGTTGTGGTGGTGATGATGGTATTAGAGCACGTGAGAAACCTTGAGTAATTCACAATGTATAAGTTCAATGGCAAATGTTGGCAACTCTGAGGGTGGTCCAGCACTGTTTCCCAAGTGGGTTTTCTTGTTCCACGCATTTTCTCTCTCTCTCTCTCTCTCTCTCTCTTTCTTTCTTTCTTTTTCTTTCTCTCGATATTTCATAGCCGTTGACTCGAAAGATGTATGAGAAAAAAAAAAAAGAAGGAAACAGAACTGATTTTTTCATACGTATGTAAGTGTACATACACCCTCACTTGAGGGTTCAAATGAGATACTTCTTTGAAAAAAAAACAAAATAAAAAAAAGTAAAGTAAGAGAGAACAAAAGAATGAAATAATATGAAATGACAGAATATTAAATAACGAAAATAAAAAAAGGCAAAATTTTGATACATAAACATGTATGGATGTGTGTGTGTGTGTGCTTAATTGACTTGAGTTTCTTAACATGGATAATTAACGTGAGATGCGAGAATACAATTTATAAGCGTTTACAGTATATACTTTAATCAATTATTTATCAAATTAATTGCTATTTTATTTCGATTAACAAATTGTTCGAGTATTAATACGTTTGTAAATCAACGAGATCATGGTTACTGTGATTTCATTAAATTAACGATTTAATTCCTGATTATGTCGAAAAATAAAAGTAAACAAAAACGCGACTAACTTTTATTCAATTAGTTCAAAAGATTTATAAGAGAAGAGGGAAAGGAAAATCAATTAAATTTTTTTACGAATGAAAAGACTGATGTTGCTTTAAGGGATAATCTTTGTTGAGCGTTCAAATGAAATCTTTATTTCAATAGAAACAACAAAACGAGGGAAAAAGAGAGAGGGAAATAAAATAAAATAAAATGAAAAATATAAATTGAACATAAAATTGTGATCTGTATTTCGTTCGTTTATTAACGTTCACTCTTTATACGAATTGAAACAAATTTTCTTTTCTCGTTAGGCTAAAACGATATAATATATTACATAAAGATATAATACAATGAAAGGAAAAAATAAAATGAAATATATTATATATATTATAATTATATTATTTAATATATTATATATATGTTGACCAACAAGGTCATAATAAATTGTTCATCAAATTTATTAAATGTCTTTAATTTCCCTTTGAAACTCATATATATTAATATACTGTTGGGACAAGAATATTGATAATTAAAATAAAATGAAATAATTAGAAACACAAACAAAAGAAAAGAAAAATTATTGAAAAAATTGGTAAAAAAAAATATGGACGCGGATCGTTAGTATACACTCGTTAATTCCTTATACGAGAGTTTTAGAAATATAGTTATCACGTCAGGCTAAAACGGAAACGGATATCCCTCTTCGCGTAGTAACTGTGATGTTAATAATTGTAGTAGTAATGGTATATACATATACTCTGAGTAACTGTACTCCCGGAAGTAGAGGTAGCTTTATTCGTAATATTCTCTCTCACATTGCGGAGAAGAGAAATACAATACCTAAAATGGAGTACTTCCAGAAACACGAAAATCATCCTAACGCTCGCATAATGTGCTAATTATAACGTTGCTCGGTGAACACCAAAGAAGACGACGACTACGACTACGACATGGATCTTCTCTTCTTCTCTTTTGCTTTCGCATTTATGATAAACTCAGACGAGAGAGGTATGACTAATTAGGTCGCTAACAGATAAGACAGAGATAGAAACAATGCACAAGTAGCAGATTTAGTAAGAGGAAAAAAATACATCTGATCCCCAGGGCAACCTGACCTTTGAATATTTTAGTATTTTTCTCCTTTTTTCTTTTTTTTTCTCTCTCTTTACATTAGTTAAATGTATACAGTGCGTGTCTCGTGTAACACATTTCACGATTTTTTTCAAATACTCGCGATAACATGACCGAAAAAAAAAAATATTTCAAATAATAATTGATCTTAGTTCTCGCGCGATTGTGTTAATAATACTTGAAATAAAAATAACATTCGAACAAATTGTTTTTTTTTAATCAATTGCCAAGGCCACTTTTATTTTTTAACATGGCACTTTGTATTTTTTTGACTTTTAACTCTTATAATAATAATATACTTATTTTTATTATACTTATATTTTTAATATACTTAAAATATATATTAAAATTTTGGAGATACATTTTTATTACTTAAACCTTCAGGTACGGATTTGTTTGAAAAAATATTTGCATGTGAAACAAATATAATTTTTGTTTGCTTCGAGTAGTATGTAAAAGCAATACATTTTACGTAAGAATTTATTTATTTCTAAAATATTGGTAACTACATATGTAGTTATTAAGATGTCTTCAAGTAATCGCTGCCAAACGGCATGGTGAATGAAAAACAAGTGAATGACGACTCTCAGACTTCAAATGTATCCAAGAGTTTAATTTTTGGTTTGACGTCTTAAACACGTCATCCGTTCCTAGGAGAAAAAAGTGAATGACGTGTCTCAGACGTCAAATGTACCCAAAGGGTTAATGATAAAAATAAAATAAAAAAAAAAAGAAACATTAAAGAGAGTGAGAGAGAGAGAGATAGAAAGAGAATAGAGATCTCGTTCGTTTTCATCGGGGGTTCTCTTGTCTACCGTCAATCAACGAGCATTATCTCCGGCTTTCGCACGACGAGACACGAATATCGCCAGGTTTAGAATAAATCACGCGGATTTTGATGCTTTTCGAACGGCTAGGATGCACCGTAGTTACCACTACTGCCGCCATCATACCGAGGCCAATAACAAACATGTATATATGTGTGTGTATCTTTCTATACGTATATGTGTACGTGTAGTACTATACCCGGAAACACGCGGCTTTCCGTTTTTGGAATTTCGCCAACGATCACTCGTGATTTATAAGCTTCTCTTTCGCACCAACGAGAATGAACTTTTCCTATTTTTTGTATATATATACTTATTTACACATCACCACCATCACTACCACGACCCACCATTACCATCATCTCCACCACCAACCACACCGTCACCACCATAACCATCATCACCCTGGCATATCTTTTTTATTTTATTTTTCGTTTATTTATTAAATATTTTTATAATTAACCCTTTGACGGCTATGAACGCATATATGCGTTTGGTAAAAGTTACCAGTATTATCTATCGATGCATATACGTGTTCGATGTAAAATAATGTAACGTTGGTTTGCTCTATTGATTATTGTTTCGAGTCTTGTGTAACGTGAAAATTATTTATTATGAGAAATAAAAGGAACTTTAATTATTCAATATATAATTTATTATTAGATCTGATATATTAATGATATCAATCAAAGGAAATAATCGCATTAAATAATAAACTATTCCGTTCCGATCAAGATGAAATTGTATCTTGTTCCAATAAAAAAAAAAGATAAAGAAATAGATTAGAAAAAATTAAAAATTCATAATACAATTGTGCATCCTTATCCTAAAAATCAAACTAAATTATAATAATAATTATATTCGATATCTTTATTTTATTATCAAAAAAATCTTAATTCCTATATAATATAGCCCTCAAATAAAATACATATATATATTATCATAAAAATATTCAAATTTTTTAATCTGCATTACTCGAAGATTAATATATGCAATATATTCGTTGTATCGTAAAAGTATGATAAGAAAAAGAAAAAAAAAATTCTATACTTTGTTTCCCCACCCTATCTATATTCGATTACTATAATATACTTATTATTATTATATTCCAAGGTAAAACGATCGACATTCGACGTGACGTTATTTCATTACGCCTTTATTACGCGCCGACCCGAATACGCCTGAGCGAGATTAAGCATCGTGCCTTTATCTTCCCGACCTGCATAACATTTATTTACCTCGGCCGTCATTTTTCATTTGCCAAGAGCGTAAGCTTCTCTCTCTCTCTCTCTCTCTCTCTCTCTCTTTCTATCTTTCTCTCTTCATCTTTCTCAGGCCAACCGATGATTTATCGTAGCATCGACGAAAAACTTGCTAATGCGTGCTTGGATGGACAGCTAGGATGAAAGTGCAGTCATGTAGTTTGCTTTTACGCTTTTCTTTTTCTTCCATTCTTTTATGCAAAAGACAAGAAGTATTCTTCCTTCATGTAAAACTAAGGTAAGTAAGAGAAGCATTCCGAGGACGCGATGTCATCGATAACAAACTTTTTCTTTTTTTTTGCTCTTTTTTTTTAATTATCTTTCTTTCATTAAACTCCGATGAAAAACTAACGTATCTTTAAGCATTTCACACGCGTGCTATATTATTTATTATGAGATTGTTTATTATGTTAGTTATATATTTGTCCATTTTTATCTAGAATTAATGTTAATTTTCTTTCTACGTAAAAATTTTTCACGCACTTATCCGACAGTTTTAAAATGTAGTCGCGATTCCAAAACTTTATTATTATATATATATTTTGGAAAATATATTCATTTCTAAGATGATTCTAAACAATAAGAAAATATGTGCGATATATACAATATTTTCTAAAAATTTTCATTTTTAAACTGTCTTGAACAAAAAATATTAAATAATTTAGTCATATTTTAGAGATCCCAATTTCAAAAATTTTTCTAATCTGTTTTTAAGAAAATATGTTTAACATCTTTGTTATATTATAAAAATCCAAATTTCAAAAGTAACCTTTGAAAAGGAGTGTACTTGATATTTTCATATTCTTTAGTTAAATGTATCAAAAAAATAAAATATGTAATAATAAATTACCTCACGTTTATTTGACTACTCCCCAATTTCTTCTCACGATAATCATCGCATACCATGATGAGATATCCCAGAAGACATCTGAAAAATAAATATTATATTCGATTAGAAAACTGTATTCCATATTAAAAAACAATCTACCTATATTTATATCAAAATAAACTCGTCTAACGAACGAATTATTTGTAACTTATTATCAATTATAAAACTTACAGATTATACGACAAATATAATATTTTACAAATTATTATAATTATATTATAAATTTTAGATCGTTGTCTGATATTATTCTCCTGAAAACAAAATCCAATTATATTATTTAATATTATTAACAAATAGAAAAAGAAAGAAAGAGAGAGAGAGGGTCATTTAAAACAATGATAAATGTAATTAACAATTACGATAAATATTATCTAACAATTCATCCAATTAATATATAAAAAGATAGAAATGAGAAATTATTTTTTAATAAGAAAGTTAGAATTTTGTATTTACCGTGAAAGGAACTCGATAACACAATCGTTTTCTTGACACGACCTTTCCGGTACAGACCCAACGTCTAACTAAAGCGTGCTTAGCATGTAAACGTTCTTATAAACAACCTTTATTTGTCCCTCTACTATTGTATTCATACACATACACACTCTCTATATTTCCCTTTTTCTCTCTCTAACTCCCTCTGTCCTATCTACACAGATCCCAAAAATGCTCAATAATAAATGAACGAACTAACAAATGCGCAAACTCAACTTTAAAATATCTAAAATGTATATCATTGATTAATTTTAATAAGAAACAAATAATAATCATTAAATACAAAAACACTCGCTTACAAAATCATAATTATATTTGTTAAATAAATTTGAAAAAAAATATTAATAAATAAATATATATATGTGAGATATTTTTAAGAAATGTACATGCGGACGCGAAAATTAAATTGAAAAATTAAACGAAGTTTATTACATCAATTATGTATAAATTTAAATTGAAGATATTCAAAATTTATCTATATGATAAAATATAAAAATAATTAATACGCAAATAAAATAAATTTGTTAAGTATATTGTAATATAACTAATTGAGAAATAGTAGAAAGATTTAATTTTAATCTTTTATACAAAAACATTCTTACGACCGAAATTTATCAAAAGTTCAAATGATTTAAAGTAGAATATGTAGTTGGGATTTAAAAAAAAGGCATTACATACGCTTTCCTCTCTTCTCTTCTTTACTCTTCTCCTCTCAATGCAATTTTTGGTAAACATCGTTTCTAGGAATTAAACGTCTAGAACGATCTCGAAAGTAGAGATTTATCTTTAGTGAGTTATCTTCAAAGAAATCAAGAAAGATGACAAGGAAAGAAGGAAAATATACGATTATATATTTCAGAGTGAAATACAGTTTCTTTTAAATGTAAACAAAAAAAAGCACTTAAATATATGACAAATTATTAAATATACATATACGTAAAAGGTAGCCGAAAAATTTCTCATATAAGATTCCAATAAAAATTAATTATTCTTTCGAGAAATATATTTCAAACTAATTTCATTCTATTTAATCATTTTCTTTTTATCTTAAAAAAAAAAGAAAAAAATTGTTCTTAACCTGACAAATATAATTAGTTAGAAAAAAATCTATAAAAAGAAGTATCATATGAATTAAAATTTAAAAATTACTTAGAAAAACTTCCGACCTATCCTTGTACAAAATATCTACAACCTATAATTACAATAATGTTATTGCATTATATATAAATAAACAAAAACATATTTAACCTACAAAGTGTCTTGAAAAAAAGTATCAAATCGATGACATTTTAAAATTACTTATAGAAAATTTGTGAGTCCCCCTTTTGCACAATATTTACACCTTGCATCTTCTATTACTATTTAATATAAATTTTACGTTATAAATATCTATTACTTTAATCTACTTTATCCTCATTATAAAAACACATAAATTTTTCATGTTCGTTCTATCGAGTTAAACAAAAAAAAATGTATTAGTTATACAATTGTCTCTCTCAACTTTATCTTTTTATTCACGCAAAGATACTTTTGGGTATAACACCGATAGTATCACTTCGAGAGGATCAAGGATTGGAGGGAAAGAAAGATAGAGATAAAGAGAGAATAAGAATAAAAATAAAAAAAAAAAAATACTGAAATAGAAACGATTTTCCGTTGCAAAAAGAAATTCCTTCCTTCTTTGCTAGAGAATCCAAGAAAGGCTTTTGTAATGAATCGGGCAGAAAATGTGGCAGGTTTTTGGAAAAAAAAAGAAGAAAAGAAAGAGTGAGAGAGAGAATAGAAGAGATTGTTCTAGTATACGATTAAAATACAGAAGAAACTTAGAACATCGCGTTGGCAAACTCGAATATATTCTTATTCAAAGGATTCCACTTTATACAACGTTAAATCGTTTATGGTTATATCGTTTTGAAACATTTACGATTCTATCTTTTTTCTTTTTCCCATATAAATCAAAGAGAAATATTTTCTACTGTGTTTATGAAAACTATAAAATTGTTCTTTGATTTGTTTAACATTAAAATTATTAATAGTTTGAGAATAAAGGTTTGAGAAAAAATTCGGAAGTTAAAAAAAAACGCGTATTATATAATTATTTAGAAATTAATTTAAATAATAAATTATTTGAAGTATTTATTTGTAAAAATGTGAATAAATTTTATTATTTAAATATATAATAGTTATTTGTAATTGAAATATATTTGTCATTTTAATGGAAGCACACGAATTTATCTTACCCGTTAAATTCTACTATAAAAGTGAGGATAAATAAAAAGAGATAAAGATAAATAAAGATAGATGATAAATAGAAAGAATAGGATAAAGTTCTCGCGGAAGAGACAAATCTATCAATAAATTACAAAAGCATTAATAAATTTAAACTCGTATATCTATATAAGAACGAACAATTATTATCTTGTTGATCCTTTTATATTGAGATTGATACGATACATCGATTATTACGATTCTCGATATTTCAAAAAGAAAATTGTACTTAAAATTTTCTAATACCTATAATACATAATATGTCTGGTTAATTATGATAACGATCTAAAAGTCAAAAATATAATTATACAAATTTATTTTTCAAATATTCTCATAATTTTAATAGAAAATAAATCATAAAATGTCATAATTAACAACAAATATGTAAGCATATATACAAATGAATGTATATAATAATAATCATATGAAATCTTTTTCGTTAATGGCCTAAATTAAAACCTAACTTTGATCAATGATAATTTTTTATTGATTTCCGATTACCAATCGATCCCGTTGGTTGTTCGTGTTCTTTATCATGTAACATGAATTCATCTAAAAGATAAAACGTTTCTCATATGTACATATATGTACTGTTTTTCATTCTTTCCTATTTTGACATAGGTCACGTAAGTGAGAAATCGATCACGAAAAATCGAGATACATTGAAAGCATCTTTCATATACCACATATATATATATATATATATATATATATATATATATATATATATATAGATAGATAGATATATATATATAATAGATAGATATAGATAGATAGATAGATATCGTTTTCATTTTTCGATATAGATATAAGAAAAAGAAATAGAAGTTCCCGTCATTGTCAGTTCTTTTCATTTTTCGACTATCAGCTTTCATCGTTGTCGGAAAAATAAGAAAATACTTTACTTCAGTGAGAACACCATTACATCTTTATCGTTGTCGATACAATGATCGCTTGCTTTTATTGAAATAGATAACAACCAACAAACCCTATGACATTTACAGTAATTGAAAAGCTGAAGTTACTTCGTTTTATAATCCGATTAATTTATATTATTTAAACGTTAAAACGATATTTGTTAACACATTAATTTGCCGGTAATGAATTATGCGAATAAAAATATTCAAATAAAATTCACTATTGTTGACTTAACGTCACTATTATCTATACACATTTTTTTTCGCATTAAACCAAACCACGAGTGACATTAAATCGGATAGTACATCATATTATTTCCAAAAAATTGTTCTTCTCTTATTTCAGCCATCAACTACAATGCCAATTATTTTTTCAATAGGTGCAAACACGTTCTATATATATATGAACACACACACATACACACACACAAATTATGAATTCAATATCAGTGTCCTACTTTCTGTTAGAACATTTCTAAATAGACGCAATTCAGACACGAAAATATTTCGATCGGAGTGTCGCAATTTTAAGAACCTGAAAATATCCGTTCTATATCTCCGAATTCACGAAGCTACCCTTAAAAAAGAGAGAGAGAGAGAGAGAGAGAGAAAAATAGAGAGAAACAAAAAAAAAATGGAAAAAGTGTTCGCCTTTTGAAAGGCAGAACACACCAGTTTTCTATTGTCCCGAATCTTTAGATTAAAGGCAACGAAACAAAAGGCAAGGCAACGCGAACCTTTCGAAATATCCTGTCCCTCCCTCGTCTTTTCTTTTTCTTTTTTTTTTCTTTCTCCCCAAGTAGAAACCGATCGTCATGGTCCAACGATCAGGAACTCTAACGCGAGACAGTTTGAATTTTTTATTAAACTTTTTCCGGGAATAACTCATTTCCAATTCGCAAATCGTTTCAAGGGGTAATATTATTATCTACTTATATTTCTAAAACAATTCTCCATTAAAAATAAAGTTGCGATCGATGAAAATAATATTTTATAATCGTTTTATAGTAACATTTAAAAAAAAAAACGAAATAAAGTATTAAATATGAAGAATAAAACAAAAAACAAAAAAATAATTTATTTTAATATTATTCTTAAAATCTCGAATATGGATAAAAAGAAATAATATATTAATTTAATATTATTAATATTTGTTCATCATCATTATTTGATTTCCTAGGAAATGTTGGTAAATGGCTAGGAACTTTTGGGAGAAGGTATTATAGAATGCATTGTCCTTCGAAGGATATCGGTTCATAATAATACCACTCCTCCAATCATTTCTACATTACACTACACTGCACAACCCTTATCATATAGGCATACACACACAACACACGCAGAGACACATGTAACGTGTCT